TGAGAGAGAACCCCGAATTCGTCATTTTGTTCTTAATACAAACCTTTTATCTAAGCAGCTTGAATTAAGCCTGCCACAGAATAAAAAAACATGGTGAATTTGATGACAAAATCCCACCTCAAAAGGTTAATTTATACTTATGGGTAGAATCTCCAGCATAGAAATGGCATAGCCATGTCGTCAATGCCGTCAGTACGGAGCAAACACACAGCCAGCGCTCCTCCTCAGAAATGCGACTACGGGCATCAGACTCCACCGCAGGGAACACGGCTGCATGGCTGCTGACGGCATAGCTCCTATGCAGAAGAATATACCACAAGCAGAGACACCAAGTGCAGAAGAACACATTTCTCTTGACAGAACAAAAACAAAGGCCTCACTAAATCTGACATCTTGTTTTGCAGGTGAAGGGTTCCCAGTGACCAGATTAATTTCGCTGTAGCCCCATAAATACACACAGGAGCCACTTTAAATGATGTACTTTACATTACATTATATTAATTAATTTCAAGCCATGTTGACCCATTAACCATTAAAAAAGACTATGGGGTATGATCTGTAAAGCTACTTTCAGTAAAAATAGAGGAGATATATGTTACAAGCTATAAAATGAAAAATTAAAAAATGAAAATGATTTCTGGAAAAATTTTTCATACAGAAATAGACTGAAAATCCTTTGTAGTTCTTATCCCCTGAAATAGAGGAAAAATAACATCAAATTATGGCCTACTCTAATTGGCATAATTTATTCTTTAGTAATGCGCAGCAGTTTGATGTCACGGTCTTAAAGTGACGACTTCTAGCACTGAGACACAACATGGTGGAACCGAAACGCTCTGTAACAGGGAGGAAAATAGCTTATTGGTGGTTAATCTCTGAAGCACAGAAACAAGGCAGGGCTGCTACATAACTGGCTATGCCCAAGTACGGCAAGATTCTGCTTCTGTAGGGTGGGTCCATCCCGACTCCCCCCAATACATACAAATTTCCAGAAAAAGTCACATTTTCCATCGGTAGCTGATGTAATTTCAGGAGACCAATAAATAAATGTCTGTACACAATTACTTGATGCACATAACTAGACAATTATATACAGATCAGGAAGTAAAGAGACGAAAACCCTCATCAATTTGGGATGAAGTTCTTTGGTTGTAGCAAAACATTTCTGTCCACCATCACAACTGGACTTTGGAGCAATGAAAGAAGGTTTCCGTATTTAGCAGACAATTTTATCAAAAGACTTACATTTTTGCCCCTGAAGAAATTGGGGAGTAAGCGCATTGCTTAAGGGCCTGGCAGATTTCAGCCGGCAGCGTTTTGACTTCCAGCGCCACAAATGACCCCCGAGATCTTTGGCTAGGCATATCCAGAGGTGGGGCTTCACATGCGGGTGGTCAAAGGGTTTTGATTCCCCTGTAGATTTTCCCACAATGCTAACATACCACACTGTGCCAAGTACCCTACAAAAAAGGCCAAAGCATGCAGATCCAGCTTCTATGGAACAGAAGGTCCAAAGAGGCCAGACCACCTGCTAAAACTTGCTGGCCATCTGACTACTGATTGTAGCTGTTGTAATGAACACATCTGAACCAGACATTTCTGATTTTAAAGGTTTATTTTCATGAGGGCCATACAATCAGTGCATATTCTCATTAATCTGTAACAAGAGGACACTAAAAAGGGCCATAACCAGCTAGTATGAAGACATTTCCTCCAGTTTCCTTTGCTTAGTTCCACGATTCCGGCTGGCTAATTGCCGCAGCCGCTTTCCCCACTAAAAACTCCAGTGGCAATGGTGTTTTTTTTTGTCTTGTTTGGTCTGGTGGCCTTCGACCCTGACTGGAATTCACGTAGACTAAACACTCTCTGCCTGCTGTGATTAAATGTTTGCTGTGTCAAGCACCATCTTTTCACATAAAGCAAAAGCAGACAGAAGAATTTCACTGAAAGAGACAAAACCAGTCTATGTCATAGAAAAATCCTAAACGACTCAAAAGTGTACTTAGTATACGTCAACCTAAGTGCAATGGAAACAGGGAGCTGGCTGAAGTAAAACGTTCAGTAAAAACTATGAGCTATTATTTTTTTCCTTTTATTATTAGTATTAATTACTGCACAACACTTGCAGTTAAATGGACACTGTTAAAAAATCTGACCAGTGAAACAGACCTATAGTAACTACAGAATATAACTGGATTCAAAAATGTAAACGTTACCACCTGGTTGGCAGCAGAGACCCCGCCGTATTGTTTATAACCCACAAATGAATGCAGGGAGGATAAAGGGGGGGAGGGGGTACATATTTTCATATGCAATCAGATAAGCCTTTGCAGCAGGTGATTTCTGTTATGGAAGTAAACTTTTTTTGTTTGGTTAAAGTGCACCCCAATCCAAGACATTTACATCTCACAGCGATCAGATATGAGCAAAGACATACAGCCATTAGTCTCAACACCTATGTTAATATGCTGTTAAAAATGATGTTTTTTGTGCGATACATGCGCATTACTGATGGTAACTCAGCATCTACAAAGCTCACACACCTCGGACTGGGCTGTACACCAGCTTTGCTTGTGACAGTGCTGCTCTTTGTCAGGAAGCCGTGTTCACTCACTCTTCCTGAGGGAGGGAGGCGCTTCACATTGATTTTTAAATTCATATCATGCTTTAACCAACCAGGGCCCATGAAATGAAAACTGGAGGATTTTCTATGGGGTGAAAATGGGATCAAAGAACTGAGTAATTTGCTTGCCATCAAAGCATTCCAAAAATCCAGATTTGTAGCTTATTCTCCAGTTTTATCGACGCGGGCACCATACCCATGTTTACCTGCCTTTACTCATTTTAACATCCATAGCCATTCAACTTCTAACCTTGAATAGTTCCAAGGCAATCTTCCAAAGTATTCCGTAAATTAAAAATTAGACTACCATGACAATGTAAAACACTTTATGAACTGCTTTTGAGGACTCATCCTCCTGGAAATCTGCATCAGTTCAAGAATAATATCAAAAACAAAATTGGTCTTGACCCTTTGGAGACCAAAGTTCGATTCTCCAGCTGTGGGTGTGGACTTCCTCCCCGTGTCATCACGGGGTTTCCGCCAGGTTCACCAGTCTTCCCTGTATCATCACGGGGTTTCCGCCAGGTTCACCAGTCCTCCCCGTGTCATCACGGGGTTTGCACCAGGTTCACCAGTCCTCCCCGTGTCATGACGGTGTTTCCGCCAGGTTCACCAGTCCTCCCCGTGTCATCATGGGGTTTCTGCCAGGTTCATCAGGCCTCCCCGTGTCATCACGGGGTTTCCGCCAGGTTCACCAGGCCTCCCCGTGTCATCACAGGGTTTGCGCCAGGTTCATCAGGCTTCCCCGTGTCATCACGGGGTTTCCGCCAGGTTCACCAGGCCTCCCCGTGTCATCATGGGGTTTCTGTCAGGTTCACCAGTCCTCCCCGTGTCATCACGGAGTTTCCGCCAGGTTCACCAGGCCTCCCCGTGTCATCATCCAAATCATTTTTAGGTATGAATCCATATGTGAATGGTGTGTGTGCTTCAGAATGGGTTGGTACACCATCCTGGGTTGTTTCCTGCCTCATGACCATCGTTTTCAGGCTCTGGATGGCCACGATTGGACAAATGAGCCTGTAGAATATTAATAGATAAATAAAACCATATAACTTTCAAACACTAAACTAAGAAAGCGATGATATTTTCCATCTCATTGTCCAGAGGCCTCATATGAATTAACGTTACGGTTTTGCAGGATCAGACCAGCCACTGAGAGTGTTCCTGGTGGGCAGGCTTCCCCCCCCCCAACACTGAAATTATATAGCCTATATATGATCACAATTAGTCTCCAGGTGGCCACCAATATATACCCCCCTCCCCCCCAGGTGGTGACCATTTGACAGCAAATTCCCAGGCTGCTTTTTGCTGTCAGTCGCCCCCTCCCGTTTTGCCAGTTGACTTTTGCTGGTGTGGTTTGTGCCCTAAAGCGATACATCGACTCTGTGTGGGAGGGTTTGCATGTTCTCCTTTTGCTCAGGTTTCCAACAGCAGTTCAAGGACAGGCTATTACAATAATTGGTACCTAAATTTCATCCTGTCTGGAGTATATAACAGCCTCTAGGTCTATGCTGCTTGGGTTAGTCATGGGCTGTTTCATCATAGAACGATAATACTTTGACTAGTATAAAAGTGCAAATAAATACAGATAGGAATTCCTTTGGTTTTCACATAGTTCTCACACTTACTCTTCTATGAGAAAAACTAACAAGTGAAAGTGGAACTTGAGGTCAGAGTGCAGAATCATTAATTTATCCTGATGCTCTGGAGCAGGTTTCTGGATTAAGTTCTTGCTCAGGAGCCTGACAGTGTTATGGCTACTCTGCCATTTGCAGCTCTTCAGCTATAGAAGCAGGTTGATTATCACGCCTCCTCTTCAAAAAACTTGTTTCAGCAACCCAGCCCAAATGCACCATGCCATAAATCTTTGCACTCACTCTCTCACAGGCTTCCTGGGTTAAGCCACACAGCCACTGTACCGGTCAGTATTCCTGATTGGAACAGAGCTATGTGGTAAATCATTTTTTCAGCAGAACTCTGGCTTAGAGAAATCCAGTGTGGCATAAACAGACACTATCACCAAGTAATTAACACATTCATAACCGTACTATATCTGATCACTTATTCTCTGAATGTTAACCGTTAAACTGCTAAATGATTACAGCTTGTGGAAAATGTGGCAGTTCTGCTTATAAATTCCAGGAAAAAAATCTAACTGGAAGCAGATATATTTAAGCTGAGATATTTTCATTAGACACTTGTATACAATTTGAAGAACAAATATGTTGCACAAGTCAACTTAAACATGCCATTAACTAGAAACTGTAAGAATGTAACACCATCCTAACAAACCATCTAAATGAAAATCAGAAATGAAAAGCTCATGAGTCATTTGGATTAACATTAGTGCCACATCAACATCAAGCAACATCATAACTCATTTGCTAAAAGTTTTTATTCATATAATAGAAATAATCCAACAGACATTCATTATCAGGAAAATCAGTCATGCATGCAGTTTCAATTCCACAAACACATTACTGTCCTGTCGTCCTGCACATTAGAAAGTCACCTCACCATGGAGTTACAAATCAGTGTGCAAACAGCTCCACGGCTACTTGTTCAGGAAGCAGCCCAGAGTACAAAAATATCACCCTTATCACACTCTGGATGACTTAATAAAGGGCGGGGGACCTACTGAAGGCTGACCACAGTACCATTCTCTGCCACCTTGAGAATAATCACAGAGATTCCCATAGAGGTGTGTAGCAATGCATATTACACAATGCCACATTACGTAATAAAGCGACAAAATGTAACAAACTGATAACGATGACATTGGTAATAGCGTAATGTAGCTATATTATACACTCACAAAACTCAACAGGATGTTATATACATATAAATAACATCTTGTTGAGTTTTTACATGATGCTTTGCTGCATGGTAAATAACACATTAGGTAATAACATCACATCATGTGATGGAAATTTGTTACATTTTGTCAAGCTATTACATAATGCTTTGCTTTGGTATGACAAACATAAATAAGCAAGTCAGCATGGTGCTGGGAGAACATTGAAAAGCAACTTTTCCTGGTCTTGGGGGACTAGGCTGAATTTAAGCTGAATTTAAGCTGAATTTAAGCCTCTGAGAAAGCAGACATCTTGCAAAAATGACCAAAAACTACACAAATAATTAAATCCTCTGTTACATTGGGCATGGGGGTTAAACCAGTGCTATATTTGACAAAAGTAATTTAAGTATCAATTAAAACTGCAAGGTAATCAAACAAAGATATGCTTACGTGGCCAGTGGCCTTGTCACCACACAGCTTGACCTCATATGCAAATCAAAACCCTACCACTGATTCAAAATTACTATAAACTAAGAATGTAATAAGCAATCTTAAAATGCAACCTGCAGGCACAAGTCTGATTAAAATGATCCAGAACAAAATGGTAAAACATTCACCACAGACATGTGAACCTACCTAGAACCTACACCAGCCAAGGGAAGATCCCACAGGTTCCTTAAGGCTGATTATTACTTCTGTGCCAAACTCTGTCACCTGTAGTTACAATTTCTGGGGAGGTCTGTGTCAGGCTAGGGCATAGGGTGCAGCGCGGGGAACATAGCTACCAATGGCACAAATTCTACACAGAAAAAGCCGTAAAAGCACACGTAGTTATTGTTAACAAGAAGCTTAACACACAGGCTGAAAATGTTTCTTGCTCATATATTATAACAAAATTACAGAATCGTATTGAACAGAAGCTGCAAGTGAGTCACTCACCAAAGCCTAGAGAGCAGGGCTTAAGCTCATCTCCTTTGTGGAGTGTTATGAAGGCCACATAGATCAGACATAACTAAGAAACAGACTCCAAGCTAGTTACAGAAACAGTATATAGTTGTACCTCCCCCCTCAACCCAGGAAGGTGATAGAGCTGCACAGCCTCGAGGAGAGGTGTGCAGAAAGGACACAGCGCAGTTCTGCGAAAAGGACGGCATCACTGTGCAGCTGGTGCAGGCCGGCACAGTGAGTCGTCTGGCAGAGGAAGCAGTGCAGCTTACCGCGTCGCTAGACGGAATGCACAACAACGAGACTCCTGCTGCACACGAAACCGCACGCAGAGTAGCAGGGCAGGGCCAAGCACGGGCCAAGCATGGGCCAAGCACGGCTTTGCTTGGGGCTTTTAACAGCAGCTCAGATGCTTCTGACCCAACAGACTGTTGAACCAAAACAAAACTTAATATGCATAAGGGACAACAAATTTAATTTATAAACTTTATTAGGTAGTTACCAACATGATCTACAGCACTGAATACAAACAAGTGCAGGCCTGAGCAGGAAGGGTGACAGGTACCATGGGCCAATGCCAGCGGAGTGCAAGGCTCTCCACACATCTAAAAAGTTAAAAATAATAATAATAATAATAATAATAATAATAATAATAATAATATGAATGTCCTTGCAATTCCCACAGTCTTGAGTTTTACAATTAGGAACATTTATCTACAAGTCTATTTTCAGGATTGCAAGCTTAAACATCAAGGCCCATTCCTCATGAAGCATTCACAGACCAACGTAGGCACAATTAGGGAGAGGGGGGGGGGAAAGCATTAGATTTCGGTAATTTGTTGGGTGTGGTAATACAATCACAGTGATTTCATAAAAAAAAAAAAAACCTTTAAAAACCAAGCAGTATTACACAAACAGGCACTTCAGATATTGCAGCAATGATGGAGGGCAGCTGGTTCTGGGGGACGCATGTGAACCGTGTAGCACCCATAACAGAAGTGAAATCCACCGCAAATACCGTTACTTTTTTCCGCCTGCTATCAGTCTTCCATAACTGTTTGGAGAAAAAGTCTTACTTCACACTGTCGTTAGGGGTCTGATGACACACTGTCTAATGACCTTTTGGGCAGGATCTGAAACTCCGGACAGAAAATGTGACTAGACCAGCAGTTGCATTTTAGTACTGATCAACTGTGAATTGTTGAAAGTTAGTAAGACCATTGTTTTTCCAAATGCTAAAATGGTGAGACATTTGAAGGACCAAAAATAGTTCTGTTAAAACCAGAACTATGGTTTGCAAACAAAAACATTCCCAAGCGATGCTAGAATTTTATGAAGGCAAGGCGAGACTCGTTCAATCTAGTCAGAGACCCTGAATCAGTGCTTCATATCTATAAATATTTCCAGTATGACTGAAGCAATGCTTATTTCCACAAACATAAGGGAGTGAAATAAGAAAAACTGTAAAAACACCCAAAATAAGGGTGGCTAAGGTGATAATAAAAACAGCAAAGGTTAGAAAAACCAGATGCCAGATCTGAACAGAGGTGATTGTGTCCAAGGTTCTCTGTAAGAAGGATGATCCTTCCCCAGGTAAGGACAGAGGTGCCTCTATAGCAGAGTAGTTGCTCCTTGCAGATGGGGCTCTCATTGGTCCCTGGAGGAAAGTTCTTCTCAGTGAAACAGGTATTGCATCCTAGACTGGGGTATAAAAGGACTGTCACTGGTAAAGCAGGTAGTCTTTGAGGGAAGCTGGCAAGGGTAGGCTGTGAATTTCACCCAGCCGCTCCCTCCCCAGTGCCAGACGCACAGAACGCCGACACAGGTCCATCAAGGGCAAGGGTTCCGCTGCAGAAAAGGATCAGAATTTATAATCAAAAAACAGTCAGTGAAGTTCATTGTCCTAGAGCCAACTGTTCATTTGATTTTATATCCTAACTGATTCAGAGCCTGAAAGGGATGTTTAAAAAAAATAAATAAGTAAAATTGAAATCCCTGTAGAATGTTTGCAGAACATTACATCTGGCAAATCTCTAATTAGGGAAGTCCACAGAAAACCAAATATCTGGTATCAGTCATTTGCATCTAAAGAACCAGCAATAAAATGTATATGGGTAATCTATATGTGAAAAATCTAAGACAGACAATTTATATGGAGGGTGTTTTGAGACAATGCTTAAAAAATAAATGCAATTTAAAGAATCATTTATAAACATGTAATTTAAACGTTTTAAATCATTTAAATTGGTTGCTGTTATCACAGTTTAACATTAAATCCGTCCGTCAAAGTCATCCATCAAACTCAGTGGACAGATTCTAAACAAAACATTGAATTGGTTAAAATTGCAAACTAAGTCACAACAAACTGATCTCACTAGTCGATTGAATTCTCATTTAGAACCGCATTCTGTCCATTCCATCCGTAGACATCCTAACTTCCCAAAATCGTAAAAACTCTCTTAGCTTTACGATAGGTTAAGATGTCCAAACTTTAACTGGCCATCACACAGTACAAGTCACAGCTAAACTTGTTCAATTTGTATGGCTGCTCTTTTATTGCTTTTACACAACCAACGAGACGTACAGAGCCCCGCTCATGACTTAAAAATTGTTATATCTTGACCACATTATCCACGGTATTAGTTAACCATGATTTACCTTGGTCCCAGAAAGAAGGGGGAAAAAAAAAAAAGTATCAGTATCATTAGGTTGTTTTCCCCCCACCACACCGTTCCTTCATCCTTTGAGTATAAAAAGCAGGATTTTCCATCACTATCATCTCACACACACACACACACACACACACACACACACACACACAAATATAATGTGGGTCCTTTGGATTGTTTGCTATCATTCAACGTTTTGTGGCTATCCCCGGTAGGTCTAGCAACGCATCAGGGAGGGGCTACTGTAATAAAACGTGGCCACTACACACTTTTTATCATTATGCCTTAGGGCTGGATGATATCATATCGATATATTGCGCATGTGCAATGATCACCAGGGCTTCAGATGACAGACGCCAGCTTTTTGGTGCTATACGGACATTTATTTATGCCTATAATTTGGTAAGAAGATTAGTAGTATTTTAAAATTTAAACCAGACTTGATAGTGTAGTCATTGTTTACCATTTAAGATCCAAGAATTAAAGCAGACCACATTTCGACTGAGCGGTTCAGTCACAAAAAAGTCGCTAACTCGAACAAGTCTTACGACCGATCCATCTGCACCATTTAAAACAATATTGCATTAAAAGACACCATTTTCAAAATGGACATTAAATCTTGAATCTAAAATATTCAAGTTGTGTTGGATGCATCCCTTTAAAGGGGGCTAAATAGATTTGTCGTAAGTGCCGATCATGGCTCGACGAAGTTTACAGATACAAAGTTTATAGCTGAACAACTGCCACACTACTGACGTCGAGTCTTATTTTCATACCAGTTCACAATGAATTGTACTGCATTCTATTGAACTTGGAAGTCAGAATTTCCAAGTTCACAGTTGGAAATTTCAACTGAAACTCCTCCTAAAGCTGGATGAACCTCTGCAACCCCACACTTAGAATTCAAGATGGCTGCACCCATCACCAACAGAAGTGAAAGCTGTAGTTATATACTGTTTATTAGCACTTACATCTTATTTGTAGCTCAGTACTGGTTGTACACAGAGTACTGTACAACCACTATCTGTGGACTATCTTGCTACAGTGTTTCTATGTGCAAAGTACCAGAATGTATTATCATTAACTGATATTGCTAACAACGGCTAACAATGAACCCTGCTAGAACTGGGGCCTGTTTCAGAAAGCAAGATTTCTTGCTTAGCCGGAGAACTTGTCAGATTTAAGGTAGTCTCGGCTAAATGCAAGTGAATGAAGACAGGCATTAAAACTGGGATACCTTAAATCCAACAAGGTATCTGACTAAGCAAGAAATTCTGCGGTTTGAAACGGTTCGCTGGTATTGCTAAGTGGCTTTCTGACTTGTACTAGACCACATTTAACTCGGGTGTGATGTCATTTCCAGCTCTGACTTCGAACCACTGATGTAAGAACGCAGCATTGTTGGTTTTCGAATACGTCACACGTAAGAGAAACCCAATGCTCAAAATGTCCACTTGCTCACTCGCCTCACTAACTAGAGTTTGCTGCATAGAACACACAAGGGGATAGGAGCAGATAGTGATTAATATAGTTCAGACAGTAGGTGGATTTTACACTGCTACATAATTATGCACCGGATATTCGTAATCGTTGCTTAAACAAATGCCAGAACATTCCCTCTAGGATGTAACTATAAAGTTTTAGCTTTTTTCCCTATATATTTTGTGTTAGTTTGTACCCGTTGTTTAATATTGTAATAAAACTACATGCCAGAACATGGATACCAACGTCACTATTTTTCGATAAGTAAATGTGGACCAATTACAACGTGCATTTAGATATGTTGCCTTTTCCATGCATATGCTTTGTATTGCGGGACTGGGAACCTCCAATAGCACGTAAAGCACAGATGTGGGGAAGGTTAAAGTTTTCTTACGTCTTCGAAAGGAATGGCTGTACATTTTTTTTTTGTTTATTATCTTAGTTAATATGTACAAGTGACATTTTCTATGTGCCGTTTTAGTTTGGTTTAGTTTGGACACTAACGCTCATTGGACTGCATGGATGTTAATTTTCAATACATGCCTACATATGTTAGTGTGTCTATTCGTAATTCCATTGATTATTAACGTTAGCATTTATCGGCCAGCTTGTTGTAACTGCTATGCTAGATAAGAGATATCCTAAAGTCTTTTCTGTGTTTTATTTATTATAGTTCACTCATTTTCACCGGCCACATATGGAGAAAACAGGTAGCAGGAACCGTTTAATACAGTATACAACTGTATAGACATTTATTAATATACTAAAAATGTAATAAACGGTGCAATGGTGACATTAAATCAATATCTCAAGATGGCTGACAAACCCACTACCAGTACAGTATGCTTGAAATATCAGTAAGGGGTGGGTCCACACTTAACGACCTAGTCGTTAAGGCGTGCCTGTATTCAATGTCTAAATTCAAGTTCAAAACCTGAACTTACTCCAAGAGACTCAAAGACTTTCAGATGTGTACACATGCACACGCAACACACAAAATTCATATACATTCCCATTAGTGGTTTTAAGCTTAATGGAACAAAGTATATTGTACTGTTGTTTTTGGGATATTATTCTTTACTTGTTTCTCAAGCACAAGCTGTCACAGAACCTGGTTCAATTGAGGCTGGGAGAAGGAATGTGAACTGTACTGTACCACATCTAACGTCTGATATCCATTTGGCCTTCCTGTAGAAAGCAGTACAGCAACAAAAGACTCTAGAATCAACTTTACTGCAGTGTGCTTCTGCATCACCTGGAACAAACTGTTCAGAAAAATCTACCCACAGCCTACAAAATTTATTCAGAGAATAAAGGTTCCAAAGTACCACACTGTTTTTTGTTTTTTTTTTTTTAAATCATGCAGATGCATTTTAACTGTGGAATTTTCAGCACAGAAAATGAGCCCATCCAGCCCCACCACAACACAGCCAGAGTGTTCCTTACAGATTTACAGGACAAACTATACTTACGGTCCAGTCCATTGACGTAGCGGATGCGGATTTCACAGTGCCCCCACACTGCACTGACTACAGGGTAAAGCTTCCGGCCCTTGAGTCCCCTGAATGCGACCCCCAAGTACTGTCCATCCACAACAAAGCTCAGTGTCCCCTCATCCATATCCAAGACTACTAGAAATGAGTCTGGCACAATAAAGGTCTCATCCGGCTCCAAGAAGGCTGGGTAGGTTCTACTTGGTTGGTTCTTGCAATCATGGTACAGTTTGTTCCGACCTAGGTCCCAGCCCCAGGATTCATGGTTATTACCCACCAGGGCAGTGTAGCCCACTGAGTGGAGGGGGGCTTCACTTGTTGCCACTCCCACCACAGCATGGGTGCCTCGTTGGCGCATTGCCCAGGTGATTTCCCACACGTGCAGCCCACGAGTGTAGCCCACCCGGCCACGGATGCCATCCGTGCTTTGGGCCACAGGGTGTCGGTGAAAAACTAGCTTATTATCCTCCTTGACGAAAACATTGAGTGAACGGTCGTCATTGTTCCAGGAGTGTTGCACTTGCACCTCTGGACCAGCAGGGGGCATATCCAGCAGCAGGTCCAGGCGGGCCGGTTTTGCATAGTCCAGGGCTTGCAGCTCCAGCTTCAGGGGCCGATATGCCGGGTCCCGCATGTCCACAGTCCGTATTCCTCCAGGAACCTTCTGGCCCATGCTCAGGGTGGCCTTAAAGGCCTCACCTGCCCTCCCCCCTTAAAGGGCAACAGAACACAATGAAAGGCAACCCTTACTGCAGAGTATCACTAGTACAAATCCAGTCGTGGGCAGTACAGGCCAAGTAATGGTGGGGGGAGGGGGAGGGGATCTACAGTACAATCAGTCGAACCCACCTGCAGAGAAAAGAAAAAACGATTAGTTTGCGATCTCCCAGCCCATAATCAAAGCCACACCGAAGACCCACTGACCATGCATGCGCACAGTGAACCAGCAGAGAAGCAGCTTTCCAGGAATGAGCAACGCTACATAATCTAGCCTTAAGCATGTGTTTTTTTTAGCAGCTATGACTGCTGGCAGTCTTCCTTCCAAAAACTTACTCTGCTATCCCTGCATGTACAGTAGACCAAAAGCAGCTAAACACATCAAAGTCCGCATAGAGGAAATAGAATGCATGTTATTCAAAGGGAAGAAATTTGAAACACTAGCATTAAAAGCTAACATTTCAAACAGATCTCCCCATTCATAGGGATTCAGTATGCATTGAAGGCACTTTGACAAAAAAGGTTACATTACATACACACTTCAAATAACTGCAGCTTAAAAAAAACACAAATTTTAAAAATGGCTTGTTACTTTCTGAACTTCAAGCACCCTCCATAGCCCTCCCAAAGCACCCTCCATAGCCCTCCCAAAGCACCCTCCATAGCCCTCCCAAAGCACCCTCCATAGCCCTCCCAAAGCACCCTCCATAGCCCTCCCAAAGCACCCTCCAGCCCTTCACCTTAGAGCAAAAGCAGAGCCCTTAACAGACACTTGTATTACAAAACTATACATTTGCATAGAAATTCAACATTAACTGGCTGATGTACACAACCATGACTCTGCCTCCAGCTGGGGCAGCGAGTGGCTCTCTGGGTTAAAATTATGTGCCCATGATTGGAAGGTTGCTGGTTCACATCCCTCTGCTGGAAGAGTGATTTCACTGTGGCCCACGAACAACGCCCTTACTCCAATTGAACAGAAGATGTTGCCTAATTCTCAGTTCTGTCACTTTGAACAAAAATGTCTGCCAAGTATATAAAATGTTTGAGAAACTACCCAGAACCCAAACTAAGGGAAGAAAAATTTCTATTTTCTAAAATTCAGGTCATTTTTGTATAGTGCCTTTCACAAGTCGCCCCAAGGTAACTTATGTCCAACATTATATTAGATGCACATAAAATCAAAATGTCCCCTGAAAAGGACCCACTGAAATGACAAATGACAGAACTGAAAGTTCACATCTCTGACTCCAGCCTTAATCTACACCAGAGTCCACTGCAACAGTAGCTGTTAAGTCCTACATCCTAATGGAATAAACCCCACATAAAACCCAACAATACAAGGCTTTTCCCCAAAAGTCCCCCCCCCCCCCGTAATTACATTACCACTTTACAATCAATGCCCTGCTGTGAAAGGCTGTGGGAAAGATAAATGAAAACCAGAAGCAGCTAAACAAATTCACAAAAACTACAATGCAGGGCAAAGCTGAGAATTATGAACATTTGTTATTGTTACCAATCACTCATGAAAGGTGTTTGTGAGGCTTTGTAATGAACAGTTTCAGAAAGATGAGTGGAGAGAAGGAAAGGGAGAGAGGGAAATAAAGAAAAACCTAGAATAAAGCTTGTCTAGACAAAAGATAACAGGAAAGGAAATATTAAAAATGTCTGACTTTTAAAACTAAGCAGCCATATCCTACTGATGGAAAACAACAGGCTGAAGCTGGCCTGAAGCTGGCCTGAAGCTGGCCTGAAGCTATGCAGGGGGGCTGAAAATCAAAAGAAAATCAAGAGTGGCAGCAGGCACAAGGCAAGGCATCATGGTGCAGGAGCGTCCCAAAAAGATTCCACGAGTTATGCAGTGCTGTCCTTCAGAAAGCACACAACTGCAGGGCAGCTAAATTAGCGCCTCCGGTCACCAATAAGTAAAACAAGTCCAGCTGAAGGCATAAAACAAGTCTAAAATTCACCGCTGGGGCCACTGGCTATGCAGTGTGTCCCCCCCCCCCCCAAAAGGGCCACATGAGAAAGCAGACAGGTCCCATCTTTTTCAAGTTGAAATTTTAAATTCATCTATACAAAATTGAGGAATACAACAGTTGTTCCACCTCAGTTGTAGATAATATTTTACACATTTTTGAGGCACTCAAAAATAACAATTCAATTTGAATTCCTTCCAAGCAAGTAAAGTGGCGAATGATTAAAATGCCCACCACCATTTCTCTCTCACTGGCAACAGCATCACTTCACTGTGATTGCAGCCCCTCATGTATCTCAATTTGTAGCGCAAAACAGCCAAGCAAGCAATTCCCAAATCATTCATTGCTTTTTTCATATTTCTCACATTGTCCCACACAATTGCGTGTGCTTTTAGTGTGATTTTCTACTAAACGCTGCTTCCACCTGTCAAAACTGTTTTTACAAATATTGCAAATCACTGTACTACTAGTTGCTGTTAAAAGCGTAAAATACTTCCAGATAGTCACCCTCTGATTTTTTTTACGTTCCTCGTACTGCCATGGGTATGCATATGACGTCACTGCAGGTGGAAGTCACTGCGCTCACACCCACTGAGTGGCAAAGAGGCTAAGTGGCAGCGTTAGCATTCAGCTTGAATGCCGCAACAAACATCTAAAATGGAAAGGAGCTGTCATGCAACTGATTGTACAAATAGCTTCTATTTCGTACTAAACCTATCTATCTTTCTAGAGACTGCCAAAGCTAGATAAGTATTGGACGTAGATCGGACACATAAAACCGATACCTGATCTGTCAAATAGGCCGGGATCGGCGCAAATACAAATTCAAACATTGGATTGATGCGTCTCTAGTATTATCAAAATAATACAGCTAACACCCATGTAAGCATGAAAACCATATAATCCTCTAACAGTTCAACTATTTACTGAACTTCAAATACAAATAATGCCCTAGTGACACTGGAAAATCCAAACAGGAGGAAGAAACAAACTGGCCTAAACTTATGTTTCAAGAATATATACATACAAACGTACATGGAATACATTCCTAGCAAATGCGCATTCAACTAGCAAAAAAGTCCATAAGTCCTTTGATACACATTTCACATAAGTAATGATCTCAACTCAAAAACCAAATTTTCTGGGAATGTTCATGACATTATGAGCTAGATTTAGTAAAAAATTTATCAATTTTGAAATAGATTTTTTTTGTTATTGAATTTTTAATATTTTAATCAGTTATTACATAGTAATTATTCATATGGGGAGGGCATTATTTGTTCAATCTATAGAGCTGGACAATAGCTTTAAAACGACATGAGGACCATTTCTGTGCAGCTTATATTAAGGTAAAGATAAACACAAAGTCATAGTCAATATTAATCAAAGACACGCCCAATTTCATTTTCACGAGTTACTCATGTGACCAAATCAGCATGCCAAGTTTCATTAAAATCCATGACGATGAGGTCCGAAAGTGTGAGGATTTGACATGGAATGACCCAGCACTGTTTTTGAACTTTACATCTCACATACATATTCAAATACCCCACCACAACAAGCAGAACTACCACTAAAAGAGACAATCCCAAAAAATATATATTTTAATAATAGTTAAAAACATGGTCAGGATGAATTTGAATTGTCAGTGTCACTGCACACAGCCCCCAAATGTAAAGAACCTTGCAGAACAGTACATGAATAATAGGCAGGCAGGAGAGGCAGCCTAATTGAATTGTAGACAAGAGTTCATTGAGAAGGGTTTTGGCCCCATTTCTATTGCAAGTAAACAACCATTTAAATGGGTCATGTCATTCCACTGAAGGCTAAACAGAGGGAGAGGCAAAACCATGCAGGGGATGGCAAGCCTGTGAATGTAAACAATGTCCCTCTCAATGGCTGTCCAGCCTTTAGAAAGAATGAGACATGTTAATTTGCACACCCTGTGCAGTCTGAACCAGTCACTTCCACCTGACCATCCAGATGAGAAACTTTAGCTTCCTGCTAAAAATTTCAATCTCATGTAACAAGCTGGCACTTGAACGTTTGCCAGCACTTACCTCAGAGGAATAACAACTGCACAGCTTGGGCAGTCCCAGAGGTGAGCTTGATTATGGGGAGTAGCCAAGGATGATCACGCTGAAGTGGGTCCCAGGTGGCAGTAGTGAGCATGCGCTCATGTGTGAAGAAAATCCCCACTAACAGCAGGGCCAAAACAGCAAAGGTTCAAAGCAAGGTGTGGAGAAGTTCACTGTAAAACTTAGGTTACGCCCACATACAGCGTACTTAACCCACAAGAGTGCTGGCTGGGGATTTTTTTTGATGCATTTCCTGAAGAACAACTAAGCAGCTGACCTTTAAGGAGCCGCAGCTGGAAGGGCCAGCCAGACCTGATTGAAATGCATGCAGAGCTCTTGTTTCTGAGGTTGGGGGGGAGACACAGGCAACACTGGGGCCTCTTGTCCTGACCATCAACCCCCACTTAATCCTCATGCAAATTGGGGCTTGCATAGTGTGCCTAGTCTGTAAATCAAAAACCTCCTTCCCTCCATTTCAACAACATAGTCATCCCACAAATACATTGCAGGCAGAGGTCATGGAAGAATCATAACTGAACGATTATGGACTGAATACTGGTCCAGGTGGAGCTCATGATTCACACAGCACTGGAGTCTGTGGGACCAAAGCCACCACAATCATATCCAACTGAAGGTTTCACACTCTCATTAGATCACTGCAGTACAGATCATTCACTAGCTTAGAAAGTTCCAGATGCCCCAGACTGACAGTCTGTGAAGGTTGTGACTGGTTACTGCACTGGATTTTAGCTGGGTGCACTGCCAGGGTAATTATGGCGCCCTAGGGACAGCGTTCACCCACATGCAGGAGCAGCTTCACAGGCAGTGAAGCTCTCAAGAGATACATACAGCTATGGCCAATATGACACTACCTAAAAATCACAAGATGCAGGACTATTGGACTATATTGCCACATAACCTATATGGGTATACAAATAAACAACAGGCTATATGCTCTATATGTTTCTAATAATAGTAATGACTAAGAAAATAAAACCTGGAAAAACAGAAAGGCCGTCCCTAGCCAAAAAACGACACAGCAAAACAGTCAGTAGAAACTGAAAATGGTGGAGCCCCTGCAGACACAGGCCACTCCTCCAGCAGTGGGACAGGAATCCACTGCAAATGTCCTACAGGTGAATGGTTAAGCGTGTCGGCTTTTCCACACTAAACACCCGGTATGAGCATGAAGGCGAGGGGGCACCTGAGAAAGTGACAATGATTCCTTTTGCTAGTTTTTCCTGTACTCAGTAAACACACAGACAGCTTAAAAGGGCAGCCAGTGAGCAGCCCAATATGAGACTGCATCTGATGGCCCCATTCCATAGCTGTATAAGCCCCATGCAAAATGGCTACACACTACAAAGACACTGCTAGTTTCAGTGCAGGTTATTAAAAGAATACTGGAGGAAAAAACAGGGAGCCTGCTCACGTGAATGAGCACATGCCAATTCCCTAAAGGTCCCAGGAGGAGCATTGCGATATTCTTGCCAAGCGTGGGCCGACCATTTTTGTTAGACTGCATGCCTACAATGTGTGATTTACCCCACCTTGTGTGAAAATGGAAGAAACCACCATTTTTAAAATGTAACTAATTTACCGAGAAAGGTTTTGGCTGCATTAGGGGCATGAAAGCGTCCGTCCTCTGTCAGGCCTCATCCACTCTCAAGCCCCAACATCATTTCCGTTAAAATGACAGAATCCGTCTTCCCAAACCCCAATACGTAATTTCCGTTAAAACGATAGAATCCATCTCAAACCTGAACAATACCAGTGTACATGTGTGTAAATAAATAGTGCTAATGTGTTATTGTGAAACAGACTATACTGTAGCTAATATGTACTTTTAATAATTATTTTCTTGTGCCATATTTATGCCGCGAAATATCGTACTATCGAAATATCGTACTTTAATGTCAGCATTTAAATTAAAATTTACTCGTCTTGTAATCCTTTGTTTCTTTAGGTTAAAATTTACGTTTTTTATATATTATTTATATGTATATTTTAAGTGCCTTTTCTTGTACTGTGTAAAGCTGGAGCCATGTTATCTCGTCTCTCTATATACTACTTGTATATACAGTAGCTGAGATGACTATAAAGTTTACTTTGACCGAGCACTAGTCTTAGGACTTTAAGGTAAACATGCGTTGCCTGTAGTAAGGAGAGGAGTTCAACACATGCGTATTTTGATGCGATGATTAATTTTTAAACTGTTAAGCCATGCATACCGCGTTTTAAGAATTATATGCGCGACAAGATGGATTCTATAGTGGCAGTCGGCAAGTCGTAATCTAACGCGACAAGACGGATTCTGTCGTTCGAACGGAAATGACGTAGGGGCTTGAGAGTGGATGGGGCCTGACAGAGGACACACTCTCAGGCCCCTCCTGAAGCCAGAAACTCGTGAATTTATCATCAGACTCATATTCATAGAATATTAGCCAGAAAGGTTATTTTAAATATATTCATGTTTTGTATCCTTTGAGGGGAAAACTGGTTCAATGTCATATTAAACATCATGATTAGTTTACGCCCTGGAATATACCATAAATGATTGTATAATTTGGGATATGACTTAGCAGCAATTTTGTACCAGTTAGAAAGCGTTCCTCAAAATAAGGTATTAAAAAAAAAAAACAATTCACATCTGGAACAGAGTTTATCAGGTTCCACTGTCAAAATCTTAGTCAAGTCAGTGAATTGCCAAAACTAAATAGCCAAACCCAAAAGTCAAGCGCTCAATACCGATCTAATCACCACCAATCCAAGACAGTCAGTCCCCATCTTACAGTCCTGCACTGATCATTCGCATACATCTATGGTATACTCCCTCCAATGGGCAGATTACCAGTTAGACAAAATAGGCTATTCTAAGTGGATTGATTACGTTAAGAGGGTATAGGCTATTGGGAAAATCTCATAATTTCAATGAAATTAGTTCTGGTGAGTTTGGTAGGTTCTCTAGTTAGTATAGAAATTAAAACTTAAAGCTTCAAGGAAGGTCAGGATAAGCTCATTTTGAGCAGCTCTGTTCATTGCATGAGGAAGAGTTCCACAGATGATTCCACAGCACAGTTAGAGTCCTGCTACAAGATGCAATACCCCACTGTGAATCTGTTCTAACGCGAATGATATATTAATACCCATATCCAATACAACACAGATCACATTTGTATTTGTGTGATTTTCAGTTGGAGAAAAAAAGCACTACAATGTGATGTGGTCTTAGTGATAAACACTACTTTCACACAAAAACAGCTATTCACATGAATGATTGTGATGTTCAATTTGTGAATGAATCACTTTTCAAAAAATTCTTTTCAGTGAATGGTCAAACCGGATTTCAAATCAAGAATCAAACCTTTTGAACATCCCCGCATTGCACAGATCAAAAGTCAGATTCTAAAAATCTAAAATATTTCACAAATCATAAAAAGTGCAACTTTAAAAATTCACTTACATTTGCTTTTTGTAGACTGACTATAGCCATGTTACCTTCAGTGCCCCTCCACATACCATAATCCGTTTTATCCGTGCTGTGTGCATGCCTGGTTGCATTGGGGCTGTGGCTCACTACTTCCAAATAATGACGGCCAAAATGATAGTAGATGAACCATTTGATGTACTCAAAAAAGGAGTCAAAGCACGTCCCAAAGTACACCAAGAGCGCCATCTATCGGGGTCATAAAATATAGCAAATGGTTCATGAAGCATCGTTTTGGCCATCACTACTCCTGACTCTCGGCAAACAACGAGTCACCAAGTTCGGTTGAAGCAGTTACTAGGCAATTCTCGTGAGGCTCATAAGACCCATAGATTTTTATGACATAATTATTGTATTATTTCTTTTTATTTTTTTATTTTTTTTTTTTTTTTTTTTTTAAATGCATACAATTACAATATTGGCCACTGGTATCAGTTTATTTAGTGTAGTTTGGCATAAGTTTCTAAATTTCAGAGTAGCATTCCCCAACCCTATGTTTCTGTTTCTGCACAAAAACCTACTTTACTGAATGCAAGGTTTTTCAGGAATGCATTAGTTACACTAGAACAGGTCTGACTAATCATGAAAACTACCTTAGCAGGGAAAGTAAGTGGGGAAAGCAATATTCTGGCACTTCTTGGGTAGTTAATAGGACTATTATTCACACTCTCCTTAGTTTCCTATAATAATTTTGTTCATTATAGAACATAAAGACGTGTCAGCTACATGTAATTTGAATCAGGGACAACTTAACAGGTGTATAAATTAAGCAAAGAAACTGTTTCACAGGTCTTGCAGTTAAGCTGCTGTACAGTCTTGAGATGTAGAGCCATCTTACACTACTAGTAACTTGCACCCAAAAGCCAAGTACCAAAACAGAGTTATTATGGCAAAATACATACATTTGACTGTCTGAAAAGTACCAGCACTCAGTGAAATAAGCACATCGCTCTCAGTACTGTGTTCAGGTACGTACCCAGAGCTTGTCCTAAGGCAAACACCCCCTGACTCAGCACCTGTCAAACAAGTAACATAATTTTGTTCCAAACTTTCCAGATGCTATAGTACAGAAGAAAAAAATCATACACTATATTATTTATACAATTCATTAGCACTGACTAGTTGCTATCAAGGCCTTGCGTGGAGAATAAAAAGTGCACTGCTGATGAGTATTTAAGTATTAAAATCTGCATTAAACTGATACGTTTACAGCTAACAATGGGTAAAGCAAAAGAAAAAAAAATTACTGTAGACTGATTTAACCTAGCAGAAATTAGAAAAAGGCAATCAACTCATTCAATGTGACCCAGCAGCTCAACCACCAGCATAAACAATTGGTTGCCATGGAAAACACTTCCAAAATGCTGGTCATAACAAGAGATTCTTTGAAAGCCAACACTTGCTCACTTTAATTTCAAGCAGCAAACTTTACACTCATCCATGCCATCAACAAAAAAAAAAAAAAAAAAGCAGGAGAGGGAACTGTGAACTAACACGAGAAACCATTACCTAAATCAAAGTGCTTTTGCTGAATGCCTAATGCATGAAGTTACAAGTACAGAGCCCTTTGTATTTATTTTTTTTTTAATTGTATCAAGTTAAATATTACTGACAATGAACACGCACTGACTGAACTTAGAGCAAAAGCCACACATTCTATAACTGAAATCTTACTCCACATAGAAAGCAAAGTTGGAAGTCCGATTTTCTCATTTCTTGCTCCCTAAAGCAGAACAGACTCCAACTGCCCAAAGTTCCCAAAAAAAGCAGTCAGCCGAAACATGCAGTGACATGGCTGTGAAAGAGGGCAAGTTACGTAAACACTGCAAACAGACCTTCTGCAGGACCAAGATGCTGCTCTTAGGTTATTGTAGGTTAAAACGCACACAAACCACAAGTTTACACTCTCTAAGGGAAGCCAATTTTAACCAACTAATTCAATAAAGAATTTGTTCAGATTTTACTCTTAGTTCTGCACAGTGTAAGACCAGCAAATGATCCAGAAAACAAAACAGGTGGGAAACAGGGAATGGAAATACACAATGCATCTGTTAATATATCAATACTGGGCAAACTTAAAAATCTAGACATCAGCATCAGTCTGATTTATCAATCTTTGTCAATATTTACACTTTAATCAATATGCATTGAGCAGTTATCTGCTGTTACTTTTAAAATCACTCATTTTGTTTAAAATCACCAGTGAACATTAGCAGTGACACCGATTACAAGCAGGTATGTAAATGTGTGGTAAGCAGGTTGTTGTCTATGACCTGTAATGTTTTAATACTGTAAGAGGCTATGTTTTGCTCCATTCAGACAGCAGGGAGTTGAGGCAAACTGCAAGACTGTAAAGATGCATGTATCATTCATTTCTCCTTTACATCTTCTGCTTTTGCCTGTTTCTCTGATAATACAGAAAAAAATAATAACGAACTGTGCAGAAACTATCAGTTACCAGTTTCAGTAATACTAGACAAAAAACGTATTGGAGTTAGCCAAAATTTCCACAATGATGTACCACTATGTGATACAGAGCTTTCAAAGTCTGTGGGACACCACTTAAATTTTTACCCAGTGAAGAACACTACTAGGTTACACTTTCCTTTCCATTTTATATGCAAATAATTCAAAGTCTGTTGCCTAGGATCAAGTCATGGCATATAACCATGGGGGGAGGGACAGTACTAAATTTAAGAATGTGGCAAACTGTGACCTCACCCTTGTTCTGCTGTCTAGACTTCATACATCCTCATTTCCAGGTATTACACGTTTCCTCAGAGTTAAACGTCACTATTCCCTGACCACACAACCCAGCTGTCAGACACTGTATTGCTGTTGCCATGCCAACAGGTTACACTTGAACAGTTTGACTCATATATTCCAGGACTCGTCTAGCGCTGTATACTAACCAAGGCCAGACTCATCTAGAGTCCCAGGGCCCTCCTATCAATAATCTACAGACAATGCAACAGGCTGCAAGCCAATTAAGCCTGCCCATGCAATGAGTGATCCCTACAGCCACCTGGGTGATGACCAGCAGGACAGAACAGACAAAACCACCATTTTAACCTATGATCTTTGATCTACAAAAACACCCATCACCAGCTGAAGCAGCACGTTTGGTTAGATACTAATTTAAAACAACCTGTCATACACAACATACGTCACACAGGTGGGTCTGTCATGTCAAGAGAGCATAAAATGAAGACGACAGTATGAAATACATCATACGTTTCTGGTGACAGAACAAAGGACTTCACACTGCTTGACTACCACTGTATATGAAAGCTTTAAGGACTCATTTAGAAAGACTTCTTAGCTTACTTCAGGCAACATCTGATTCAGTGCATTTGACTACGCCAGTAGGCTGCCTAGTAATAATAATAAAAGTTGTCAATTTACAGTTATGACTGCTTAGACATCAACAGCATTACTAGTGTACTACTACTACTACTACTACTACTACTGCGCAATAAAAAAACCCTACTTGCAAAGTAAAAAAAAAAAAAAAAAAAAAAAAGAAAAGAAATTAAAGACAAAAAAAATCGTCCAGGACAAGTAAAGACTATAAACTTGTAAGCTTCTCTGTTCCTTTTAAGATTTAAAATATTAAAACCGGTACAAATAAAGCTATACTGGTGATCGCCTCTAGAGGAAGCAGGCTAAGCAAACAATTTAGCCATCAAAAAAAAAAAAAAAAAAACCGAGTTTAAGTACAATGTCTATCGTAACATTCGTTTCAAAAGCAATATATTACGTAGAAAGGTCATTAAATATAACTGGGCTAGGTCGGAATAAAGACAAAAACGCTAAATAAACATACCGTGGTAGTGTGTTACTCTGTTTGGGGGAGGACCCAAGTCAACTCAACTTTTTCAAAACGAAAGTAAGACATAAGTATAACAGCATGTATAATTACATTTTTAAAAACCTACAAAAGTTCGGTTTCCGTAGTGAATGCGTACTTGAACATGCAACGAGTAGATATCACATACCCTTACCTTCACCTGAACCTAAAAGTGGTACCTAATCGATGTAAACCACAACGGTCAGCATAATTAGATGCAAAAAAACACAACACGATCCAGTTTTTATGTTTTGGTTTGACGGGAAAAAAAGTTTAAGCTTGAAATACAGGAAGTACTCGACTACTCTCGGGGTTAAACGAGACATTTGCACTCGGGTGCGGCAACTGGAAATGCAAGAATCGACGGCACAGACCTATATACGCGTTTCGTGAGGTGTCGATCTTAAAATATGTCGTGTGTATTATTTGACGGCATAAGGTTATCGGCTGTGTTTCGGGCAAATCATCTTCATTCTAGTAAAAGGAAAATCATCAGCGAAAATTGTGCTCTCGAGTAATACTTTACCTGTCAGGTTTAAAAAGCTGTAAAAATAACGAAAACGCTTTCATATGATTGCTTTCCCGTTTATTCTCGTGTTAATCCATGACTCCTCGTTTAATCCCCCTCGACTCCGTTTTCAGGGTCGACTCTGCATTGAGTAAAATGATGGCTGCTACTGCGAGAGGAACGGCGCTCCAGTCACGTGGTATAAATAGCTCCCAGCTGAGCAGTTCGGCCGATTAGCGCTTACTTCATACTTACTATGTGCGCCCCAATAAACACCGCCTGTATTTTAACATGCTTCATGTGGGGCGGCTGTCCCTACTGTTGGATTAAAGTCCACGAATTACAGCGACGCCACCAAATTCATGTCACCGCCCACCATAGCGAGTGTGTGGTTGTTTGAACTCCAAGAAAAATTAAATAATTCATTTTAGCGTGTTGTGTATTTGTTGGGAAAAAATCTAGTTGAAACTCCTCAGGCTCGCAATAGTGGGAAACACAAGGGGTAGCACTGTGATTTTTATTCCTGTCCTGGCGTTTTAGTTCACCCAGGTTTCATGTGGGTTTTCTCCTGATACTTTGGTTTGCCCTTCCAGGCCCGGCATATGCACATGGATCGGTGTATAAACATGATATGTATGCACATCCTGTCAAGGGCGTGCAATACCCTACACTCACTGTGACCCTGCATCAGACAAGTGCTTATGCAAAATGGATAACAGCTAAATAATAATAATAATAATAATAATAATAATAATAATGATAATAATAATAAGCTGAGGGCAATGCAGCTTGATACCCCTGCAGTCTCTCCTATATTTCTCTATTTAATTATTCTTTCTTGCACTATCTATCTATCTATCTATCTATCTATCTAGTGACAAAATACTTATACAAATGTAATGCAAAATAAATAATTATGTAATTAAGTCAAGGCCACAGAGAACTAAATGTACACTTTAGATTTTGTTCTGATACCCTTGCAGTAACACATAGATAGGGAATTAGTTTGGTCAGCCCTGTAACGCACTTGTCTGATGAGCAGCCTTTTACTCTGCTATGTCCTGAGACAACAGCCTTGTAGTGGGATGGTGTATGACTCTGTGGGTTCGAACCCTGTGCCTGTGCTTGGAAGGTCACTGGTTTAAATCCCATGCACGCCTGGGCGATGCCTCTGTTGAGCAAGACCCTTTTACTCAGTTACTTCTGGGTAGCTGTCTGATGCGGCTCTCTGATCCTTAATTGGATCAAACATGTCTGCTGAATAAATTTATGTATATAGAGTGCAACAACAAATGAAAATGCTATCAATAAGTATAATTACTAATATAATTACTTGGCTAAAAATTGTGATTAATAGTAATATGTATACATGTACTGTCAGTGATAGAAGCCTACACATTGGCAATGAATTGTAAGAATTAATATTATAAAGTGTAATAATTCAAAATGAATATCAAGTACAATAGTGGTCTGTGTGTATTATTATAAAAGTATGTCAGAATTGAAGAATTACATTACACAGTTTAATGTCTGCCGGTACGTTCTTTTGCCAATAAAATGAACTGAAAGACATGTCTCGTGAATGTGAATTGCTTACATTTTGTTATCTGAAATAAATATTAAAAAGGGAATAACTTCAGTAAATTGAATAAATTAACATTTCTTTCTCTTTTCAAGCTGATAACACACTAGCAAGGGAAAATGTAGTTGAAGGGGCACCATCTTTAGGCAAGAAGTAGCCAATAAAATGATGATGGGTTTGGCTCTGTTGCAAGGAAATATTGCTTCTGCAGCTGCTAAAACTATTTGCAGTCTACTTGTAAGACCTTCTGCAAATGGCAAGATCATACAGATAAGCTGATCATTCCTGCAGCATGGATTCCACAGCTATGTTTGGGTAAAGCCAAACTGTATCCCAATCTGGCCCCCAGGGGCCCCCAGGCAGCCCATGTTTTTGCTTCCAGCTCCCAGCAAAATCATGGACTGTCTGGGGGCCCCTAAGGGCCGGATTGGGAAATGCCGCCATGGTGTAGTTCAACACAGCAGCTTTTGTTCATTTTTTAAATTAAGCTACATGCCACTAGTTATGGGCGACCAACAGCACGTTTCTGTGGTTGTAACTGTAACACCTACAACTAAACTAAACAAAATATCAGCCCTTATGATAAAGATTCAAGCAGAGTCACTGGTTGTCTACTGAAATTCCTACTAAACCAGGAGAAGCATGTCTGCGTGGAGTGTGCTGTCCTTCTGAGGAATAATTGAGGTTCCCTGTGTCTGCTTTACTAAACTTAAGTTCCTCTATTTTCTGACGGCCCCACGGCATGATGCATAAAATCCACTTTAACATTAATATCGGGTGTTGGGTAAATGTTGAGTGAATTGTCACCTAGGGAGTGCAAATGGTTTACTTTTCATAGCAGTGAGAAATTCTACAAGTGCCCGACCCTCAGCCCACGTAGAGTGTTGGTGACAGATGACAACATGAAACTGACAAAGGAAAAAGTCACTCATTGGCTTGGACCACTCAATACAGAACATGGCGGCGCGGCGTGCTCTGTTCATTGAAAATGCTTGATTCTTGTAGTTTATAACCCAATTTGCTGTATTGCGCTGATAGTCATGACACCAGTGAAACTAGTGCTCCCTTTACAAAAACTTAAAAAAAAATCACTTTGTTTTTGAAAGTGACTTGGTTTAAACTATGCCTGTTGTGCAATATTTTAGCATTTTAGCAGATTTCCCAGCACAGGCTCATTCCAAAATGGCTGCTCTCTTCTCTCAGGGAGCAGCCATTAGACTGGCATGACATCATCATCCCTGACAGCCACCCTCAAAGCACAAGGCTCTGCTCATATGCCAGTCATTCAGATTTTCGTTCATCATTAAGCCTCAATGTGGTTTTTATCTGTCGCACTTGTTTGAATGTCATTTGACTATGATCAGGTGTCATAGGGAGTGAGGGCACATTAGCTTTTAACAGGGTGATGTATAGCCCGTGGGTTTGGAATCTGTACTGTGTCTAGTGGATTTGTTGTGGATTTGAATCCCAGGGTTGGCAGTGTAATCATATCAGCATTGGGCCTTTGAGCGAGGCTAACCCCTTTGGGGTGGTGATACTGACTGACCCTTCTTCCCGACCACAAGCTGTTCCTCACTTGCATGCTGCTTTGCACAAAACACTCCCTGTGACACCTGATCCTAGTCAGCAAATGACATTCAAACAAGTGCGACAGATAAAAACCACACTCAGGCTTAATGATGAAAGAAAAGCTGCTAACAGAGTGAAATGATTGTGCACCCACTGCTCTGCTTGAATCACTTTCTTTAAATGGCACCAAGGAAACAGCTGGCCAGTCAGTTATCTAACAGCCATGTAGCCATGCAGTAAATTCACAGATTTGAGGCTCCTCCCCCAAATTTGTTTGCCGCTGATCAGACACGGAGCCAGCTATGAAAAATGATGAGTTAGAACCCCCCTAAATAAATCTTGATGCGTTTGTAGTAAATGTGTATTTACAGATTAAAGATAACACCCTCCTGTGACCCTAATTGGGATAAGCAGTTACAGAAAATGGATGGATGAATGGATGGGCAAATTACCCTGTAAACAGGTCTGATAAAAGCTGGAGACTCTGCTCTATGCAGCGCTTACTAAAATACATATTGTAGCATTATTATGTTTATTGAAATTGCCCAGTACTTTTTCTACAACCACATTCTCACCATACTGTCATTTACAATGAACTGGGAAAATGTTCTGGTGCCACCTGGTTGCGATTTCTTGCACTGCCAGTAATCATAGTTATTAGTGGTATTCTGCCTCGGATTATTGCAGGTTTGTAAAACCACAAATACATTTCATAAATTACAGCTGACTTTTAAAGAAGCTGGTTTGATTGATTTAAACTAAGAAACAAAATGTAATTATATTATTGCAATTTTGTCTCAAACAGACTTTTTTTGTGCAGGAAGATTAAAGACTGAAATAAGGATTTCATAGTTCCTATAGTTATTTGATGATCAGTGGCAGCTGGTGGCTGAAAAATTTACAATATTGCAATAGTTGATTCCAAAGAAGAGAGAAAATGTGTTTTAAGTGAGAACAAAATTATAGTATTGAGTAAAACGTTACTTGTTTTATCATTTGATCTCAAAACATACTACCTCCACAACCTCTATCGACCATGCTGGTAATAATGACTGCATTTTGTTTCTTTAAAATTAAATAAATACAAAATAAATACTGCAACAAATAATTTGATTTATATATCCTTCTTTTTACTGCCTATTCATCAGCAATCGCACTGAAGTTGCAGGCATAAGGTTGCAAGAATTTAAGTGCAATGTAGCTTGTTTTGCATTGTTGGCAGTATGAAGTGCACCTGAATGAAATTTTACATTGTATACAATTGGGCATTTTACTCTGAAAAAAATCTCAATGGTGCATTAGCTGTCACTTGAATTGGAAACATTTGTCCTGCTCTCCACATAGCACCAGCATTGAGGAGCAATAAGTAAAATGGACGCCGTTGGCTTCCCAGGAGCAGAATGAATCACTGAACACTGTACCTAAAGATGCCCATCGCTAAATGCTGTGAGTCTTTCCTTTACTGCCATACCTTTCTGAACATTCAGCGGTACTAACACATGCTTTAGTGTTGCAGTACGTAACGCTGCATTACTGCACCACTTCTGTGTTGTGATGCATAGAGTTGCCTTACTGCACTGCCTTTGTGTTCTAGTGCATAGACCTGCATAATCATGGTTCTCTGGTGCATAGAGCTGCATTGCTGCACTGCCTTTATATTTTCCAATAATTGCTTAGCTACCCATTTTGTCCTTGCTTGGGAATACAATAGCAGGGTCACTTCTGGAACTCAAATGTACGACTATTACTTCTTTAGTTGTTACACCACATGCTTTTTATCTCCTACAGTTCAAGGGCACATGTAGTAACATAGGGCAGTATAAGTAGTAATAATTATGGTTGCTCTTTGGAAAGTGGAGTAGAGGAACTATAATGGTTCAAGTGTCAATACATGCATCATTAGCCTGGAACAAGGTAACAGTGATAAAGCAGAATGATAGCTTTTTAATATATAATGGTGAATATGGTGAATGCCATGTGACAGACGGGCATCTATTTGGGACGTCCACGCAGCCTGGGATAAGTTCCACCATCCACTGCAACTCTGACCAGGATAAGCAGTTAAAGATGGATGAAGGCACGGGTGTTTCATAGATTTCCCTAATTCACTGCATGGTCATGGTGGACCTGAAACCT